GGGGGGGGGGGGGGGGTTTCGTGTCGGCAGTTCGATGAGAATCAATTCCTGTCTCTTACAGTATATTTCGAAACTGAAAACATTTTCTGTGCAATTAAACTGAGAGCCCATGTACGTGTTCACGGCAGAAACTGAAACTGAGGAACGTCTGCACCACACTGTATATAACTTCCGTGCATGTGAGCGCAACTTATAAATATTGCATAACTTTAAATACCACCACATTCTATAAAACTGATTAAATTAGTTTGTTCCTCGAATCCAGGTCATTAGTTATGTACAGGCACGCATTCAGAAAGACTACAAAAGCCACTGCAATTTAAACTTTTCAGTTAATTGCAACAGTGTTCAAAGTCACTTTATTCTGATAGCATGTTATTTTGAAATGTTCATCAGTTTGAGGCAGTGGCCTAGGTCCACACAGACGATGTTAAAGCGTAAAAATCTACATATCTAGGGACTGTGGGTTCGAACTTCGATTGGGTAAGTAGACGACCATATTTCTCAAGCCCTGAAATTAGTCACGTATAATTCAACAACACCGTGTCATTATACCGGGAAGGATGTCAGAATTTAAGACAGTAAAAACGTCTTCACGCTAAAACAGGTTGAGAATATAACAATAATAATAATAATAATAATAATAATAATAATAAACTGCACTATTTTACTTGTGTGGTTCGTATGATTCTTAGAGTAAAAATCAATTATTTTCTTAAACAGCGTTAACCAGTTGATCCTTGTAATGGCGAAATGTTGTGTTTTCTTTGCAGTACGGACTGAATTCTTAAAAGTTGTTTAGAAGACCTTCAGGTTCGAAGAGTGAATCGAATGCGCAAAGGTGTCCTTAGCATTTCTCACCTGTTGTAATGTAATTACTGTATCACCACGTCTCCGACACTTCCTGAACACTCGATATTTACGGAAACAATCCATGACCTTTTCTACAGGAAACCCGAAGAAAGGTACCGATACTTATGCGCATAATAATGTCAGTAAGACTGAGGGAAGGCGACCTATCTTCTGAACAAAAGGACAATCCTCGTCATCCCGAAGATACGAATTGGAAAATCGACAGTATCTAGTATATTGCCAGTCAAACATAGCTAAACTTAATAAAACTTTTTTCGTCTGTTTAAGTTATTTTGTAAAAATTAAAATTAATTATTTGGTTTTCCGTCAAATAACAATGTATTTAAAATAAGATAATTAAAATAATTAAAATAATTAAAATATCATTCTGTGTTCCGTATCGAATAATCGATTTACAATTGGAACAGTTACAACGTGTTTCGGTTTTATTAAACCATCATGAGGTGTAAAATTATATTAAATTTAAAACTCAATTACAATTTTATACAATTTTTTCGTAGTGTAGTTTTTTGGAGGTCGTAAAAAATTGTAATTGAGTTTTAAATTTAATATAATTTTACACCTGATGATGGTTTAATAAAACCGAAACATGTTGTAACTGTTCCAATTGTAAATCGATTATTCGATACGGAACACAGAATGATATTTTAATTATCTTATTTTAAATACATTGTGATTTGACGGAAAACCAAATAATTAATTTTAATTAATAAGTCACAATATGACGCAACTACACTATCTTAAGTTATTTAGGTTTAACAAACGAGTTCCAACACAACTGACTGGTCTGGATATAAACCTGCGTGTTCCTTTACCACAAACGTACATTTTCTCATTATAAAGTCAGGGTACCAACAACTCTGTCCATGTCGTTAAAAATTATTACTACCAATCGGTACTACAGATTTTGTTTCTGTAATACATATCGACAACTTTAATAGTTTCTCACAGCAAAAAACCTCCCGCCATTCATTACGAATACCGGCTTTACACAGAGTCTTCACACATTCTCGTTAACAATTCTTACATTAGTATCACAATGTAAACCGATCATGTCACGGCCAACGGTGACAAATACCGCGATGGCCGCTAAATGGTGCCATAATAAGCTAGTACACTATCCGTCACGAAAAGCGACGTTTACAAGGTCGGCTCAAAGTTAAAGCGAGTTGTGATTTGAATTTCAGTCTGTCAGCTAACCCTCCCACAGCACAGACCAACTGTGATTATTAATCTGTTATTTTTTTTTTACAAGTCACATTTGCGTTTTGAGTTCACTTGTTGAACTCGGTGTTATGATGTCAATTTCAGATGTTATCTGCTGTTACAACGCCAGGGAAATGGAAAAGATTGGGAATAAAAATTTGTGACACACGCATTTACAATTCCAACCAAAAACATCTGATGAGTAAATTCCGTTATGTTCCTGCCTACGCACGAGTCCAACATGACATTTATGAATGCGTGTGTTGTTATAACCGTTTTACCAAAGCATGCTGATAAGACATTTTGGGTCTTGTGCGACAGGAATTAGTACTATGTTTGGTCGTTCATCTATGGTCTATACTACACATTTTCTTGAATTGGGGAAAGTAAGAACATTTATATTTATTTAGTGTTCTGTCTGACGACAGGTCCATATGAACAGGATCCTTCCATCCTTTTCTCGGACTGGGACCTGTTCATATACGTTCTTGGCAGATGATCCAGAAGTGGTTTGACATTGCCTTCTTCTGTGTGTGAATGAAGTAATTGTTGGGATGCCACGGAGAAAAACTCCGTGTTGCCTAGACCACCACAAGTTATAAATTCGAACCCGAGACCCCAGGATTACAA